CTGGCCCGAGCAAACTCGTATGAGCCTTCAACAACTGGTCGCAGAAAGTGTGTCCAGACTTCCAAACTAATTAGCAAGAGCACATCAGTGTGAGCCTTCAAATACTTAGCGCCGGTGCCTTAAAGTACAAGCAGCCTTTCAGCAAGTGCCAAGAGCACACCTGTGTGAGCCTCCGTTTTTTGGTCGCAACGTAAACAGCACAGTGCTTGTACGACAATTACCAAGCCTAGCCCATGCAGTGTACCCAACCACAAAAACGTGTCAACAGGATTCAATACATTTAGTAAAATTGAAATCAACGCTATACGGCAGCTCAGCAGCTGTTGTGACAAAGTGTCAAAACGCGAAATTAAGGCTACAAAGTAACCATGGATAAATTGAAAGCGCATAGGCAAACGATTAAAGGTAGCCTAACGCGCATATACAATGTATGTGCCGATCAAAACACAACGGCGGAGGATATAAGAGTTCGTGCAGAAAGAGCGGATGACTTGTTTAGACAGTATGAAGGAATTCAGCTAGAAATAGACATGTTGGCTACCACAAGAGAACAGCAGGCAGAAGAAGAAGTGTACCGCATCGAGGTGGAAGAGAAATATCTCGCTATTAAAACAATTTACACACGTTCAATGCAACATTCTGCGGGAAATCATACTGTTATTGATAATCAAACGCCAGCCGGCGATATATCGATCGCAGTTCAGAACTTACTAGAGCATCAGACAACAATGGGTGCATTAATCGAACGCATGTCTCGTAACAGTGGGATAGAAAATGGTTCAAGCCCAATAAACGCCAACAACTACACACAACAACAACACATCCAACATGAAATGCGTTTGCCACGCATTCAGATACCAGAATTTGACGGCAAATGTACGGACTGGATCCGTTTTCGCGACTTATTCGAGACACTTATACACAACAGACAAAACATTTACAATATTGAGAAGCTAGAATATTTGCAAACGAAGGTTCGAGGGGAAGCACTTTCGCTCTTCAAACATTTAAAACCAGCCAATGCAAATTACGATATTGCCTGACAGCTAATTAAGAAAAAATACGATAAGTCCGACAAAGTAAAGAGAGCTTATTTTGAACTTTTATGCGATCAACATGCAATGAAGTCTGCGTCAACGGCAGAAGCTAAGCGACTATATAATACAACCAACGAAAGTATAAATGCGTTAAAAGTGCTTAATGAACCTGTTGAACATTGGGATTCAATTTTATTGTTCATGCTAGAGAAAAAGCTTGACGCCGAGACGCATGTTTTGTGGTATAGGGAAAAGAAATCAGAGGAAGAGCAATCGATTCAAGATTTCTTGAACTTTCTGGAGAAAAGAGTTTACGAGTTGGAAAACACCCAAAAAACTACAGCGGTCAATACCTTTCGGAGTGGCATCGGTGACAAGCGCAACCAAGCGCGCGCGTTTGCAATAATGCCTACATACATGTGTTCTTTGTTCAAAGCAGCATCAGCTTTATCAATGTAAGCAGTTCCTCGATATGGAAGTGAATGCGAGACGCAATCTGGTTCAGAGCAGCAACATCTGCTTTAACTGTCTGCAGCCAGACCACCGCGCATCAAACTGTAAGAGATCATCGTGTAGAAAATGTGGGGCGAAACACAACTCCCTGTTATATATAACATCAGCAGCAAGTGACGTTCAGCAGTCAGCAGTCAATACGAATGTAGAGCCATCTATTGTCAGTGCAAATAGCACACAGCAGAGTCAGCGGTCTATCACATTGCTGCCAACAGCGATTGTTATGGTGCGCGATAGATGCAACGAGTTGAAGCCATGTCGCGCTTTGCTGGACTCAGGGTCACAAGGCACGCTTATAACCGAATCTTGCGTACAGCGACTGCAGCTGAAACGAGGCTTTGATAGATCTATGTTATATGGGGTCGGTTCAGTCAATGGAGGTCACACTAGAGGAAGGGTCGAATTAAATATCGAGGCGACACAATATGACACCATTATTAGAACTGAGGCATTATGCTTGCTCAATTTAACTTACACTTTGCCTCCGTGCGATATAAGCCATCACAGTTGGACATTTTTCAATGAAGTTAATCTTGCAGATCCTTCATATTCGAAACCTGGTAAAATCGACATCATACTTGGAGCAGATGTCTTCACTAGCTGTTTACTGCCAGAGAAGTTGACTCATCCTAGCGGTTCACCGACCGCAGTCAACACAATTTTCGGTTGGGTTATAATGGGTAAAATAAAGGGAGCAGACGAACAAAACATTGTAACTGCACATACATGTGTGGATTTAAATCAGCAACTTCAACGCTTCTGGGAAGTTGAAGATCTACGAGAACCGACAAATTACCTGACGGATGAAGAGAAAAAAGCGGAATTACATTTTCAACAACATACTCAGTGCGATGTACAAGGCAGGTACGTTGTTAGGCTCCCGTTAAAAGAGGATGAGGTTAACCTAGGGGAATCACGGTCTGCTGCGCTTAGACGACTTATTTCAGTGGAGCGTCGAATCGACAGTGATGTGCAACTCAAGGAAGAATATGGGAAATTTATGGACGAATATTTAGAGTTGGCGCATATGGAGATTAGCAGCACGGTAAACGTACACAGAAAGTACTTCATGCCACATCACGCAGTATTCAAACCAACAAGTGCCACAACAAAACTACGGGTAGTGTTCGACGCATCCTGCAAGAGTTCAAATGGATTGTCACTCAACGACAACTTGTTAATCGGTCCAACAATACAAAAGGATCTGTTCGAGATCATAACCAAATTCAGGAAATACAAGGTTGGATTTGCCGGCGATATCGAAAAAATGTACCGACAGGTATTGGTACATCCAGATGACCGGCCGTTGCAGCGTATATTGTGGGGACGTTCCACGGAGGAAGAACCTACTGCTTACGATCTTCGCACCGTAACATATGGCACGGCAGCTGCACCTTTCTTAGCGGTAAGGACACTGCAGCAAGTGGCATATGACTACTCTGATGAATATCCTGACGCAGCATCTGCAATATCGAACAATTTTTATGTAGATGATTTCTTGGCATGTGCTCCCAATTCAGGAGGAGCAGTGAAGCTAAAGAACGACGTGTGTTCAGTTCTATCCGAGGCAGGATTCAAGCTACGTAAGTGGTCATCAAATTCGAGAAAGTTCTTGGGTACAATTGACATAGATGATTATGAAAAATCTCCTGATACAATCATCGACACCACAAGCGCCGTAAAAACACTTGGTTTGCTTTGGGAGACTTCAACAGATAACTTCAAGTACAACGTGGTGCTTGAAGATATCACGTTAACCGTGACAAAACGTAATGTACTATATTGCCAGAATATTCGACCCAATCGGATGGATTGCTCCGATCGTTATTAAAATGAAGATTTTTATGCAAAAATTATGGCTAAAGGGCGTAAGTTGGGATGAAGAGCTACCTCGTGAGCTATACAGCGAATGGTATGATTACAGGCAGAACATCAACAGAATTTCAAAACTACGTATACCAAGGTGGCTTGATTTCACTGACGACAGCATTGTTGAGCTACATGGGTTCTCGGACGCGTCCGAAGTAGCATTTGCAGCAGCGGTTTATGTGCGGATACAGCGGAGGGATGGCGAAGTGTTCACCCACTTAATTTCGGCTAAAACCAGGGTCGCCCCGGTAAAGCAAATCACGTTACCGCGGATTGAGTTGTGCGCTGCACACTTGTTGGTGAAGTTAATAATTAAGGTACGACAATCTTTAAGTTTCGAAGTAGTTGACGTGGTTGGTTGGACAGATTCGTCAATTGTTTTGGCGTGGTTGGCAGATCATCCTCGCCGCTGGAAAACCTTCATTGCAAATAGAACTTCCCAAATAATAGACGTCATACCAGCTGAGCAATGGCGTCACATACCGTCACAACACAATCCTGCAGACCTTGTTACAAGGGGAATTTGGCCTGCAGAGCTTGTAACTTGTAAATTATGGTGGCACGGTCCTGACGTGCTGATGCATAAATCAACGACACATACCGAGAAGCCAGCTACGTCACCGAATGTCAGCATGGAAGAACGAAAGGTGGTTCAGTCACATCCAGCTATCATACAAAATTTTGACCTAGTTGAGAGGTATTCAAAATACACGCATCTTTTACGCATCACTGCACTTTTGTTACGCTTCGTACATAACTGCAAAACTGGTAGCTCCAAGCAACCGAAAACAGCTACCGGGATTTCAACCAACGAACTGCAGCATGCGCATAACGTATTGGTGAGGAAAGAGCAAACAACATACTTTGCACAAGAGATACGGTTACTATTGAAAGGTAAGTCTCTACCTATGTCAAACAAACTGACGACTCTTGCACCTTTCATCGATAACGGTGGCCTACTTCGGGTTGGAGGCAGGATTGTAAACGCTAACATCAACTACGACCAGAAGCATCCATTAATTATCCACAAAGTCAGCCATTTGACCCGACTGATCGTGATGTATTCCCATCTAAAGCACCTACACGCTGGAAGTCGGCAACTTCGTTACTTGCTTGGACTAAAATACTGGATCCCAGGGGGTACATACACAATTAAACGATGTGTTTTTAAATGTACAACGTGTATGAGAGTACGTGGAATAGCTTACCAGCAACAGATGGGCAATCTTCCTCCACATCGACTAAACCCAGGTGCAGCCTTTCTCAATACGGGTGTAGATTATGCCGGGCCGTTACAGGTGCGCTCCTGGAAGGGACGAGGGTCTAAGCTATACAAATGTTGGATCGCGCTCTTTGTGTGCCTTGTGACTAAGGCTGTACATATCGAGCTTGTTACGGAACTGTCAACTGGGGCGTTTATCGCATCGCTTCGTCGGTTTGTCGCCAGGCGCGGAAAGCCCTTGCACTTGTTTTCGGACAACGGCACAAATTTCGTGGGGGCCAATCAGCAGTTGCGCGAGTTCTTGTTTGCATCCACAACAAAAGAAGGCATTGCAAAGGAACTAGCGGATCAGCAGATACAATGGCACTTTTCACCACCCTCTAATCCACATTTTGGTGGGTTATGGGAGGCTGGGGTAAAGTCAGTTAAGTACCACCTCAAACGAGTGTTAACAGAAGCAGCAATAACATACGAGGAAATGTCTACAGTACTTTGCCAAATTGAATCTTGCCTAAACTCTCGGCCACTGTGCATCAAATTCGAGGGAGACGTCGATCCATTAACTCCGGCCCATTTTTTGATATTACGTTCACCACACACAATACCCGACGAAAACTTGGTCAATTTAAAGGAGAATGCGCTCAACAGATGGCAATACCTTCAGCGACTGGTTCAAAACTTTTGGAAGAAGTGGTCTGTAGAGTGCATACACCAGTTGCAGCAACGACCAAAGTGGGCACAAAAACTTAAAAATATAGCCATTGATGACGTTGTGATCATAAAGGATGACAACCTTCCTCCATCAAGTTGGGCAATAGGAAGAATCGTTGAGACACATCCTGGATCTGATGGTCTCGTTCGAGTGGTTACTGTAAAGACAGCAAAAGGAACATTCAAACGACCAGTAGTGAAACTGTGTCCATTGTTTCTGGATAATTGAAAGCAGGTGCTTTCAAGAGGGGCCGGAATGTTTAGAAATTTGATAAATTGGAATATTTAATGTTTTTCAATTCCAGAGATATGGCATCCCTCTTTTGTAAATTCTAGGACGTAAGCGAACTCCAACTAACTTAAAGGAACGCGAGGACGGAGAGAATTTTGGCGTTTTTGATTTATCATATTTTTTTGAGAGAGACATCTCGGCTTTTTTCACACAATCAAGGTGGTTGCCAAAAAACGTGTAAAGAAAACTGTTGTGGAGATTCAATAAAAACTTAGTTAATTTTATATGCATTCATATTGGCTTGTTATTTATAATTTAGAGTCCACGATTCGTTTTGCACGCCGAATTTGCGAAACAACCTCCAAAATTAATTTGGGTGCTAAATTAGATTTAGTGGCGTTGAAGAACACCTAAAAGACACCCAGTTCCTGCATATATGTATTTCGAAAATTTAAAACAAAAATTTAAAGGGTGGTCAGTAGAGTGGCCTTTTTGTTGTATGAAAAATTTGGAATGTATGAATCCAAAAGTTTTCGCACAGAATAATGTGAGGTTGGGGATATAAATAAATACGTAATTAGTTTAAAAGCCTTCAGGTGATTCCTAGATTCCGGGGTTGAGCTTTTTCGACCAAAAATGTCGAAATTACACCAATTTCTTTTATTTTGCATTTCTTTTTTTAAAGTATATATAAGAAAAATTCTACATTATGCTTTATTTAAAATGATATTAAATATTATTATTATTCGATATTAAATGATATATTGATATAAATGATGATTTCATATTTTTCTCAGCTTTAATATTGTCGTGTACCATGATTTTTCAATCAATGTCAGACTTTTTTAACTTTAAAAAGATAAATGTATTCAGTTTTCAATAAAAAACAGTTCAGAAATAAAAAATTGCGTTTCATGGTTGTAAAAGCTGAAAATTTAAAATAATAATTTCAATTTCAACATATTTCCTATTAAAAAATCAAAATCATCAACCCGGAACCACTCGGAATTTCCGAATCCAGAAAAAACAAATTTCATATTTATTTTCCTTGCCAACCTCCGCCGCTCTAGTGTTCAGCTAGGTTAACAGCGCTAAGTTAGCTGAAAAACACATTTTTGCGAATTTCTCGGAAACCAATGGAACACCTAAATTAATTTTGGAGGCCCTAATTAACACCCAAAAGACACCTAATTCCTAGCAAATTTTTATTGATTTTTGGCGACTTGGGTCAGCTAGGTTTACGGACGTACAAAACTCTTATAGTTACGGTGACCATAAATATATTTTGAAAATGCAGGACAATTTTTCAAAAAATTTACCTACATATAATTGCGTAGTATAAAAATAACAAAAATATACTACATATATACATTCCTCGTCATTTGAATAGCGCACCCTTTTTTTTGATTTTCTACCATACAAAGTATGCTTGACAAAATTTTTATATGGAAGAAAATGTGCAGCACAGTCAACAAAAAAAATGTCGCCGCTATGTTTATTTTTTTTTAATTTTCAAAAATTTTTTAAATGGGATGTAGACGTAGAATATGGTATATTTTTATGAAAAGTTAATGAATATTAAACAAACAAAAGGAAAACTGTACCTACTAAGTATTAAAAGGATGCGCTATTCAAATAACGAAGAGTGTATATTTCTTAATTATTAATCCAATTTTAAACTTTAAACATAAATCACGTTTGCTTCATTGGTATTAATCTTTTAGTAATGAATATTTACAAAATTATAATAAGGCATATTACATATTACTTTACACGAAATATGAACCTCTGTAAAGTAAATTTTTTTGGCAAACTTTGGCTCGTTGAACACGAAAAAAATACCCATGGTTTCAAAGAAGTGTTTTCGAGATTTGTTCGAAAAACGTATTTTTAGTACTTTTTCAGTTATTCCTCAATATCTCATGAAACGACCAACAGTTTGAAAGGTATTGATGGGCTCTTTGAAAAAAACTATATTTTTTGTGCAGATTGCGCTCAGTAACATCAACATTTTTCATCAGATTTTCATTTACTGTAAAAAGAAAATGATTCAAATTTCAATTTTTCGATTTTGGTTGTTGTTGTTGTTGTTGTTGTAGCGGCTACTAAGCCCCGTTCGGGGCGGTTCATCCATCAACGTTGTCGTCTATTTCAGCTAAGGGGAGGCCCAGGAAGTGTGCTACTTCCAGAGGGGCTGTCCATAGGGACAGGCGCGTTAGCTGAGTGGGATCTTCAGGGCATGTGAAGAGGTGCCGGGTGGCGACTCTCCACATGCCGGGCATTGGTTGGGCACATCCTCGTTGATTCTGCTCAGGTAGCTATTGAGCCTGCTGCAATAGCCAGAGCGAAGTTGGGCTATTGTAGTGCGGGTCTCCTGAGGCAGACAAATTTCTGTCCCGTCCACGTCTGGTGGTTGTGTGCCTAGAACGGCATTCACAGGGCGGGAGTCTACATAACTTGAGACTGATTCCCTGTGAATGCGGTTCAGGGCCTGCCGGTAGGTTGACGGGTCCAGAGGTTGTTTAATATACCTCTGGACTTCGTCTGTCAGTTCGTAAAGATGCCTCCTGACGTGCCGTGGCGAGGGCTCTTCCGCGAGCAGTTGCCCGCTGGGATGGCCACGTCTGTGGCTTCCAGCGATGAACTGCTTGCAGAGCATTATGTTATGCTCCTTTACTGGGAGCATCTGGGCCTCGTCGTGAAGGTGGTGTTGAGGCGTCATCAGGAGGCATCCTGTCGCAGTTCATAATTCCGTGTTTTGGCAGGTCTGCAGCTTCATCCACTGCGTCCTGCTAGT